TTTTAACAAGACAACTCTGTCCTCACAGAATGAACTGGAAAGAATATCCTGCTCTCCAATTTCCTGGAAGAGTATATAAAGAACTGGCATGATTTATTTCTCAAATGTCTGGTAGAATTCAAAAGTAAATTCATCTGAGCCTATAGTTTTCTTTGTGGGAAGGTTTGTAATTACAAATTTGATTTCTTTAGTTAATAGAGCTATTTAGGTTATCTGTTTCTTCTTGAGTAAACTTCAGTAGTTTGCTAGTTTCAAGGAATTTGTGCATTTCTTCAAAAGTTGTTGAATTTATCGGCAGAAACTTATTTATAATACCTGTTATCTCCTTTCTAGATTTTTACGTCTAAAAAGGTCTTTATTCTGTCTTGCCTGGGGATAAAATTCTAGGTTGCTGCATTTTTTTCCCCTCTGAGTACTTTAAAGCTCTTGCTTCATTGTCCTTTCCCTAGCAAGGGAGAAATTCCTTTATATGTATCTTTTTTCTCTGTTGTTTTTAACATTTTCTTTATCACTAACTTTAAGCAATTTGATTACAATATGTTCCAGTGTAGTTTTTCACATGGGGTTTACTGAATTCTCAGAACTATGGTTTTAACAGTTTTCACCAAATTAAGGAAAATTTCAGCTGTTATTTCTTCATCTCTCCTTTTAGTCATACCTCCCCCTTCGATGACTCCAATTACTTGGATGTTAGCCACTTGAACATAAACCACGGCTCACTTACAATGTTATTTTACCCCCAGACCTTTTCTTTATGTTCACTTTGGCTAGTTTCTATTGGTATGTCTTCAAGTTCATTAGTTTTTCTTTCAGCAACATGTACCTGTAATAATCCCCATCAAGTGTATTTCATCTTAAATACTTAATTTTCATCTCTAGAAATCTGATTTAGATACCTTTTTAATCTTCCATATCCTCTATTTAACTTGTTCAATCTTTCCTCTAGCTCAGAGATCACAATACAATTTATAAACCAAATCTGATGCACCCCTCTTTGTGACAGAAAACTGTACTCCAGTGTATACACATGTCCATTGGTTTACATGTGGTCTATGGCTGCTTTCTTACAAGAGTTGAGTAGTTACAGCAGAGGCTACATGGACCACAAAAACTAAAATATTTACCATCTTATCATTTAACCAAAAAAACAGGCAAACTCCTGATGTTAGCATACTGAACATACAGAAGACAAATATAATAACTGCTATAATGTCTTTGATTCCCATCATGTATGTCACTCCTGGCTTGGTTTTAATTGAGTTTTCTCCTCATATAGATATTTTCCTACTTTTTGTACGACTGGTGTATTTTGATTAGATGTCAAGACTCAATAAATCTTACTTCTGAGTATTTGATATTTTTCTATTCTTAGAAATATTATTGAGCTTTATTCTGGTATACATTCAAGTTACTTGGAAAAAATCCGATCCTTTCAATCTTGTTTTTAAGGTTTCTTAGGTAAAATGCTCTGGTGAGCAGCATTTAATGTTGGCCAAATTTTGCACCACCTCTGAAGGGAAACTCTTCCGTGTAGTAGTACTCTAGTAGATGCATCATGAAGTGTAATATTTTTCCACTTTAGCTGCTGGGAAAAGGCAGTGTGTAGTGTGAGCTTCAGGAATTTTTTCCTCTAACTCTTCAACTTGATTTTTTTTTTTAAAGATTTTATTTATTTATTATACAGACAGGTAGGCAGAGGGGCAGGCAGAGAGAGAGAAGCAGGCTCCCTGCTGAGCAGAGAGCCCGATGCCGGGCTTGATCCCAGGACCCTGGGATCACGACCTGAGCCAAAAGCAGAGGCTCTAACCCACACTAAGCCACCCAGGTGCCCCTTCAACTTGATTTTTATCTTCCAGCCTTAGGCAGTTTCCCAACACCCGTGTGCTGATCAATACTCAGCTGAAGAGGAGAGGGTACCTTCTGCAGATCTCTGGATCTCTTTCCTCTCCAGCTCTCTGCCCTGGGAACTCTAGCCACCTTGAACCCCACGACACCTAGCTCCATCTCTTCACCTCAAGGTGCTTAACCAGGCTCCACTTGGATTCCTCCTCCCTATGTAATGTTCTAGAAACTCTCTAGGTACTAGGCTGGAGCAACTGTGGAGCTCACCTCACTTGTTTCCTGTCTCTCAACAATCACTGTCCTTTCTTGCCTGCCATCTAGGATTTTGAAAATCGTTGTTTTTTTATTTTGTCCAGGTCTTTAGCAGTTTCAGTTTGGAGAGTAATTCCAGTCCCTGTTGTTCCATCTTAGCCAAAAGCAGATGACTTAAAAGCTTACTAAAATTTTCCAAACAGGGAAAATTACTTAAAAATCATGATAAAGTAGACAGGACCTAATTATATTACTATATATACTTGAAGAAAGGAAAGGACAATCTCCTTATGATATTTATTATCATCACTCTGTTTGCTATTTTTATAGAGGTGTCCATTAAAAGCAAGTGATTTATTCATCAAAATATATTTTATGGTTAGGAGTCATTCTGGAACCAATCTATTTCTACTAGTAATAAAATAAAAATATCTACTATTAAATTGTAACTATCAAAACATCTGCACATGTGAATTAAGTAATTCTGCTTAGAATTTCTTCAAGATATATACAAACATGTATTTAACATCTCTAGAAATTCTTTAAAATTTAAGTAATTTCACTTACAGGAAAAGTGGCAAAAATAGTACAAAGAATTCCTAGTCCTCTTTCCTCCATACTCACTGAACATCAATATTTTACCATATTTATGGTTTGTTTTTTTTTTTTTTAAAGGTTTTATTTATTTGATAGAGAGAGACACAGTGAGAGAGGAAACACAAGCAGGAGGAGTGAGAGAGGGAGAAGCAGGCTTTCCACTGAGCAGGGAGCCTGATGCGGGGCTCGATCCCAGCACTCTGGCATCATGACCTGAGCTGAAGGCAGACGCTTAAGGACTGGGCCACCCAGGCGCCCCCATATTTATGTTTTTAAGCCATTAAGAACTCATTGTAGACATAAAGCTCTTATACCCAGAATACTTCAGTGTTAATTTCCTAAAATGAAAGACATGCTTTAAATAAGCATAATGCAATTATCACTGATACAAATACTTGTGTATATGGATTTTATTCAAATGTCGCCAACTGTCCCACAATTGTCCTTTATGTACGGGAATGGGAGGCAGTGTTGAGAAACTAATGCTCTCAGAACAAATAAGGATAGCCACCGGTTTTTGTAAATTAAGTTGAGCTGGAATACAATCATACCATTCACTTACGTATTGATTATCTATGGCTGATTTGGGGATATAAAAATTGGGATGAGAAGTCACAACCTCAGTATGGACTAAAAAGTCTAATATGTTTATTATCTGGCCCATTACGGAAAATATTTGCTAACTCCAGCTTTAAAAAAAAAAGAAAAATACTTCTTCCTGGTGACCCAGAATTTAATTGAATTTAGTTGTCATGTCTTTTTGGTCTTCATTAATCTGCTAATCCTCAGTCTTTGTTTTTTATGATCTTGGTAAGTCTGAAGAGTAAATGTTATTTATTTTATGGAATGTCCCTCATTTGTGCCTGTCTGTGGCATTTTCTTATGCTTAGACTGAGCTTATGCATTTCTGGCTGGAACATCACAAAAGTGACACTGTGTCATCCTCCTCAGGATGCACATGATGTTTACTTGTCCATTACTAGTGATGTTAATTTAGATCACTTCATTAAGGTAGTGTCTGTTAAGTTTCTTCACGGTTATGTTACTATTGCTTACTTTATAATTAATACATACTTTGTGAGGATATGCTCAGAGTCTAAGTGAATATTTGTTTCTCACCAGACTTTAGACCAATAGTTTAAGCATTCACTGATGATTTTTGCCTGAAACAATTATCACTGTAGTGGTTGCCAAAGTATGATTTCCTAGTTCTATCATTCCCTCTACATTTATTAGGTGGAATTCTGCTATAAGAGAAAGAATTCCTCTCCTCCACTATAGAATCATTACTTTAACTCAATGTAGACTTTTAAACTGTATTTTATTCTATGGGTTCTTATCTATTACTATCATTATTTATTTTGAAGACTGAAGTAGCCATGATTTGACTAAAGGGAACTTTTTCAAACTGGTTCCCTTTCTGTGTCCTTTTGGCATGTCTCTATCATTCTTTGTGTGCAACAGCTTTTTAACAATAACGATAATGTGGACATAACCCAGTGGTCATCAATGTAAAATATTAAATAAGGAGTAGTGTGAAGGCAATGAAAAACTATGGAAACATGAAAGATAACAAAGTAGAAGATGTAGAGTAAGTGGAGTTAAAAGGTCCAGAACAATGGTAGAGCATGATGCCAGACTTAAAAAAAATAAAGATAAAACAGACAAGCATATGCTTATATTCGCATGCAATTTTCTAGAAAGACAGTAAGAATGCAGGATTAACATTAAATCTAGGATGTAACTGTGCAACTAGGTGTTCTACTTTTTATTTTACAACTGCTAATTGTTGAAAAATTTAAAAATCACTTCAAGACTAATACTTTATATCTAACATTTGGAATTAAAATGTATATTGTAAAATTAATTTACATTATTAGAACACAATGTAATATTTATAGTCTCCTTAAAAGTGAGTAAAATCATGTTTTCTTTAAAATTCTTTTCTAAAGCATTTATGAAATATCTTTCAGGTGCCACCTATAATCAATAAATTGTGACTGGCTAAATGCAGCTAGACTGGCTAGATATAAGAAGCTATCTTTATACTGTCATCCTTGTTATGTTAACTATATAATACTCAAGATTAATTCTTGAAAGGTTTCACTTTCCCCTTTGAACTATATCCTATCATCCTCTTTTTAGTGGGGCAAGGGAGGGAGGATGTGGGGAAGGATGGGAATAAGCTTATGATCTAGATACCACTATCTGAATAACTTCTTTTCAAAAAGCACCTAATACAGTTTTTAAGATAAAAGAACCTGCTATTTTCATGAAAGGTTTGGGTGAAAAACTAATATAATGCTTACCTAGTGAGTCGTTTAGGTGGAGGCCGCTCACCAAATTTTCTGGAAAAAATAAGAAAAAAAAAATAAATACATAGGCTGTATGACACAGTCCACAGTAAGCTTTTTAGGCACCATTTGAAATTCCTTTATGAAATTCCTATATTTCAACTCCACTAAAGAACAGCATAAAGGAAAATCCTCTAATAATCATCCATGCCCAGAAAAAAAAAATTCCTTTAAAAATGGTTCCTAAACAAAAATGCACCCTAAATAGGTCTTACACACCCACTCTAAGCATGTAGCATAATGATAAGATGAGGGTGACAGGTACCTCCTAGAGATACCTTGCAAAAAAACAAACAAAACCCAACAATGACAACAACTAATCAAAAACCCCCAGTCTCACACAACCTGCAACACTCAGAAAAATTCTCAAACCCCAAGAGGTGGTATAGAGCTCAGTTTGTCATTTGCCAGGCACTTTGCTGTACATTCTTTACACCTTGCCCTCTTTAATCATTATAGTACAATTTTGTGAAGTACATATGGATTCATTTTAAAAAGATAGAAAGCAACTTGCCCGTAAAGTAAACTAAGTGGCAGGCAGAGTTGAAATTTAAACCAGATGTTGACAAATATTATCGAATTTTGTATGGACCACTGAAGACCCAGAATAGCCAAAGTCATCTTGAAAAAGAATAAAGCTGGAGGTATCACAATTTCAGATTTCAAGATATTGTACAAAGCTGTAGTAATCAAAACAGTTGGGCACTAACACAAAAACATAATCATAGATCAATGAAACAGAACAGAAAACACAGAAATAAACCCATGCTTACATGGTCAATTAATCTATGACATAGGAAGCAAGAATATACAATGGAGAAAAGAGTATTTTCAAAAAATAGTGTTGGGAACACTGAACTACTTACATGCAAAAGAATGAAACTGGACTACTTTTTAATACTATAGAAAATACACTCAAAATGGATTAAAGATCTAAATGGGAGACCTGAAGCCATAAAAATCCTAGACGAGAACATGGGCAGTAACACCTCTGACACTGGCAAAAACATCCTTCTAGGTAAGTCCTCCAAGACAATGGAAGCAAAAGCAAAAATAAACTATTGTGACCACATCAAAATAAAATGCTTGTGCACAGCAAAGGAAACCAACAACAAAACAAAAAAGGCAACATAATAAATGGAAAAAGATATTTGCAAATAATACATCCAATAAAGATTTAATATCCAGGGGTGCCTGGATGGCTCAGTTGGTTAAGCATCTACCTTCGGCTCAGATCACAATCCTGGAGTCCTGGGACCAAGCTCTGCATCGCGCTCCCTGATCAGCGCTCTGCTTCTCCCTCTGCCCCTCACCCTGATTGTGCTCGTGTATGCTCTCTCCCTCTCTCTCTCAAATAAATAAAAACTCAGAAAAAAATACAGACTTAATATCCAGAATATATAAAGAACTTCTACAATTTGACGTCGAAACAATATGATTAAAAATGGGCAGAGGACCTGAATGGACATTTTTCCAAAGATGACATATAGATGGCCAACAGATACATAAAAAGATGCTTAACATCACTAATCATCAGGGAAATACAAATCAAAACCAAAATGTGCTATCACCTTACAGCTGTCAAAATGGCTAAAATAAAAAATACGAAATATTACAAGGTTGACAAGGACATAGAGAAAAAGAAACCCGTATGCATTGCTAGTAGGAATGTAAACTGGTAAAGCCACTGTGGAAAACAGTACAGAGGTTCCTCAAAAATTAAAACAGGAAATCCTCATGACCCAATAATTCCACTACTGGGTACCTATCCAAAGAAAATGAAAACACTAATTCAAAATGGTATAAGCACCTCTATGTTTACTGCAGTATTACAATAGCCTACCAAGTAACCTAAGTACTGACAGACGAACAGATAAAGAAAATATGGTGTGTACGCACACACACACAAAGAGAGAGAGAGAGAAATATTACACAGACATAAAAAAGGGAGATCTTGCTATTTGAAAAAACATGGATGAACCTAGAGGGTATTATGCTAACTGAAATAAATCAGACAGAGAAAGACAACAACCTTATGATATCCCTCCTATGTGAAGTCTGAAAACAAAACAAATAAACTAAAAAACAGAATCAGACCTAAAGAGAATAAACTGATGCTTGCCAGAGGAAGGGGCATGGGGGAGAATAGGCAAAACAGGTGAAGGGGAGAGGGAGATACAGGCTTCCATTATAGAATAAGTAAGTCACAGCATATGGAATACAGTCAATCAATGATAATATCATAGTGTTGTGTGCTATGAGAGTGTAGTCACACTTCTGAGTGCGACATAACAGAGAAGTTGAATCACTATACCATACACCTGAAACTAGTGTAACCCTGTGTCAACTATATGCAAATATAAAAATGTTTAAAAAATCTTAGATGTTGACTACTTAATTAGCTTACACTATATGGCCCTTCAGAAAGAAATATGCTAAGTGGACAAAAAAAACATTTCAGCTGGTGGTTAAGAGGGCAAAGAAAAGCTTCAGCAAGGACAAGAAAGCACAACTCAGGCTAGAGTTAGAATACAGCATGAAGGTTAAGAAAAATGCACCAAGTAAGATCAGCTTCCAAATCCATGATTTAGTATTTTCTTGCCATGTGTCTCTGAAATTACTTGACTCTCTAGACCTCAGCTTCCTCATGAGTAAAATGAGCATAGTGACTGTGTTTACCTTAGAGAGGTGTTGAAGGGATTAAATGTGTTAATATACAGAAAACACACAGAACAATGCCTGGTATACAGTAAGAGCTCAACAAATATTAGAATTATTACTGTATTTTAGTTATAAATCAGTAAGACAAAATAACGAAATAAAGGAATTAAGTAGGATGCTAACAAGGTTACATAAATATAAAGGAAGAAGAAACTAATTCCTGTGTGATGACCTCTGTCCTCTGAAATAGGAAATGAGGTTTTCTGAGAGATGGTGGAACACAATCCTTGAAAAAGGACCAACAGAATTTTGTTTCCTTTTTTAACCAGATTGTAGTTTTATACATGTTAAATGACTTGCTCATAGTCAGCTACACGTAAAGTCTAACTTAAAATTTCTCCACTGTATTTGATGTCCCACAAAATTATTAGCTTTGATGATAAAAGTCTTAGAATCTGATTCTGTTGTGTAATTTAAGGCTATATGACATTTTTTATGAACTCAAAATTTACAAACCGTGTTATCTACGACTATGAATATTTTTGTTAACCTTGAAATACTGAAAAGTGACTTAAGTGAAACAGCATAAAAATATGAATAAATAATCCAAGTTTTTGTTAGAAGAATTATTTACTAATTCTTTGATTTTACCTTATCGGATATTCAATTTTAAAAACCAAGAAACAAAACACAATGTGCTGGTAGGAACTTCAGCAAGGCCACTGAATACCACAGGTTTTAAAACACTGAACTACTGGCAAATCTGTGAAATTCAGTTATGGAATTAAAGGCAAAAATCTTCTGAATCTTTTTCCACAGGAAAGACTTTTCTGAGCCTTTGAAACTAATGAAATGTACCATTATAGCGTGCGATTAAAATGTAACTGCCTCACTAGGTTAGAAATAGTTTGCAAAACCCAAGAAGCTTAAGACAGCCTTTAAAACACCATATATATATATATATATATATATATATATATATATATATATATAACAGCACAGCTATATTTTATAAAAAGGAGCAAAGTGAGATGTGGCCCAGAATCTACTCAAGGGGTTAAAATGGTGAAAATTTCACAGAGACATAGTTGACAAATGAAATAAAACTTGTCAATGAAGATCATGACACGGTACTTTTCATACTAACTACTAATATTCCAGTCATCAAGCACCCTTTGAGATCTAACAGGTTACAGGACTAGTAAGAGATCTACTGCACTCAACTGAAATGTAAATTTTGTTTCTTGGTGCTCTGAAATGCTTTCAAAATTAGATTAACAACTAAATGTTGATTAAAGTATCTGTCTTTGTTTCTTTGCAGAAAATACCTGTTACAGGAAGTCAACAATTACAGCACATGCTCCTGAAGTACAACTCCTATCCCACAGAAAACATACAAGAGAACTCAACAGTGAGCATGCCAAGCTTGAACAGCACTTCAAAATTTAGCATCATTCTAAATTCTAAAGCTAGGTGCCATCCTAAAGCTAGGAATCTTATAAATGTTAGTAAGATTAAACTACTTCTTCAATATATAATAAAGCGTCTCCAATAATTGTTGTGTGCCATCCCAGTCCTTTCTTTAATGATGTGCGATCACATTCCTATTTATCTCATTAAAACTAACGGTTACTATAGCTACTACAATGGGGAAAAATAAGAAAAGGGGTTTTCTGAGAAAAGTCATGCAATGCATTTAGTAGGTTCACAATGCAAAATTCTGAAGGCAGCAATTAAACCTAATTCTAATTATTTAATAAAATTCATAGGTCTACATACTTGAAAATGTTAAGTTATAACAAGGTATTATATGGATCCTGCATTTAACAAGACCCATTTTCACTACTAATCTGATATACAACTAATACATAAAACTTCAGGAATTATTTACTGCAAAAAGGTGGTCCATCTTCAAACATGAATGAATTAAATTCATAATGTAGTATTTATATCATGCATTCAAAATACTCACTTTTCAACAGAAATGACTGTAGTCCATTATCAATTTCTCAGAGATTGAATGTAATTTAAACACTAAGTTCTGTCTCTCTCTCTTATATAATAGGGAATGAGATAGGCAGGCACAAATTTTTATCATTATTTGCAATCTATTTGAAAAACAAGGTGTCTACTGACATGATCTGCATTAACAACTGAACCAGACATAAGTTGGAGCAACCAAGTTTTAGACCACTCTTACCTAAGATGCTTTTCATATAAGGTTTATGGTGTATTTAACAATAAAAAATAATCTAAATCTTTAAGTACTCAAAGGATGGCTTTAATTTCACAAAATACTGATTTGATTCTTCGTAACAAAGAATCACTGCTAT